GAAAACAAGAAGCTCCCACCAAACCTCTTCTCTGTCTGAGTCTCTCTCTGTCTCTCTGTCGTCTCACTCTACGTCCCGCCCCTCTAAGAGCTTCACACTGGGTGCTCCGACCCAGCTGTCTGAGCTTTGGGGTCCTACTGGGTCCCCCGGCGAACGCTTGGGTCGCTGACGGGATTAACCCCAGGTACCTGATAGCACCGGTTCCCATCCCGAACACCGAAGTAAAGCAGGAGGCCTCCCCATTAAGACTGGGGAGGGGGTGTAGAGTTCAAATTTTTTTCTTTTCCCTTTCAAATTTCTCGGTTAATACTCGTTTGGTTTCCTTATACGGGGTAGTATGCGGGCTCCAAGAGTCGCTCTTCAAATCTTGTGCTTTCCCCTCTCGTCTTTTTTTCCTCCACAAAGTTGGTGTGCGGTGCAGCAGGTAATAATGAGACTCGTCCAATGCAAACTGCGTCTCTGTCTCTGTCTCACTCTCTCTCTCTCTCTCACTCTCTCTCTCTCTCTCCCTCCCTCCCTCCCCCTCTCTCTCTCTCTCTCTCTCTCTCTCTCTCTCTATCTCTCTCTCTCTCTCTCTCTCTCTCTCTCCACACACACAGAGCTACGGGATCAATGGAACGGTCTGTCCTGCCATGCCCGGCGCCTCGCGCTCAGTATGGGGACAGTGTGGCGGGCGCGGCGCGACGTGCAGGCAGACTGCAGGCAGGCAGGCAGGCAGGCAGGCAGCTGCAGTGAGGTGACGCCGTAACTGGCGTCACTCGGCCCAGCCTGCCAGGCAGTTGCGGCAGTGTGGCCGTGCTCTGGACCTCCACGCCACTCCCCTATGCAGAGTCCGTCCGGCCCCCCCCCCCCTCCCCCTCCTCCTCCAGGATGGCGTGCCATAGACAGCCCCACGGCCCCTCGGAAGGGGGACCCGCAATCATCCCCGCTCTCTCTCTCCGTCTGCGTCGCCCCCATGTCGCCCCGCAGGTGGGCGAGAGAGACGTATTCCCAAGTGTGACAGTGGCGGAAAATAAGGCGATGCAGCACTGCAGCCCCCGCCCCTTGCCGACGCGGGGTACACTGCCAGCCGGTGTGTTTGCGTTCGGCCGTCCGCTGCCGGTTAATCCAACGCGTTACGCAGCCAGTTAAGCCGCCGCGTTGCCCACCTCGCGGGGGCAGTAAACCGCCTGCCGGCGGTGCTGGCCGCCCGGCCGCCGCCCGGCCGCCCCGCCACCAACGACAGATATTTGACGGCGCAGTAAAATTTTGCGCACAAAGTTTTACGGGACGACGCCATTATCGCGTAATGTTGGAACGCCTGGCCGAGCCCAGCCGAGTCCAGCCCAGCCCAGCCGGGGACACAACAGTCTGGCCACCAACGGGACTGGCAGCGGACGGGCGTCGAACCCGCGCCCACAGCGGCAGCCGGCAACCGCCGGAATGATGGGGCTTTATCTCTCCAGGTAACCGCATTCAGCATCGCCGCCACGCCACGCCGCGCCTCTCACCACGCCATACAGCCATTCGAGATGAAAGACTCGCGCGCCGCAGTCGATACTCGATAGTTGAAAGCGATACCGCGCTGTTTTCCTTTCGCAGATTGCAATTATTTTTCCGCCCGCATGTGTCCGCGCGCCGCGGCTCCGCGGCTCCGCGCAATCAACAGCATGCGGATTAATAATTATCAATTCCGATACACACAAAAGAGCGGCAGGAGTGCCTCGGCGACGACGCCGCTTGCGTGGGGCAGGACGCGAGGCCCCGCCATGCATTTCACTAAGCAGAGACGGATTGGGCCGGGAGAGTGTTTATGGTGGCGTGCCGCGCCGCGAGGACGCCGTGGAGGCCGTAAAAGAGGCGTCGTCTCTGCAGGAAGGGCGGCGGGCGGCCGTCTCCAGCGTCTAGCGGGCCGACGCACCGCGCACAGCGCCACGGCGTGCCTGACGGCGGCCTCAAGGCGGCATCGACGAGGTGCCGGGGGAAGGAGTGTTTGCTCTGCAACTTGACCGGGGCGTGCGACGCCGGCTGGCAGGCAGGGCAGTCCGGGCGCACATAATGGCGACCCCATTCCAGCACGACTGCTTCCGGCGACGAGAAAATACAACGTGTTTACTGCCGCCGGCCTCGCCTGCCGCCCCCCCCGCCCCGCCCCGCCCCGCCCCGCCCCGCCCCGCCCCGCCCCCCGCCCCGCCTCGCCCCGTCGCGCCGCGATGACGCGGGGGTGGCCGCTGCTTTCCTTCGCGGAGAGGAGGGGAGGGGTACGACGGCCTCCTCTTCACAGCGTCTATAGAAACATGCGACACAAATAGAATCTCCCCCACCAGCCCGGCGTCTGCCCGCCCGCCCCGTCGCCGTGGAGGCCGTGGAGGCCCTGGCGGCCGCTCCGGCGGCAGTGATGGCCATTGCCTGGCCGGGGCCCCCCCGCGGTGTGGAGGGGACGGCCCACTCGGACCAGCGGGGCAGTTATTACCGAGGCATTCATCGGACCATGCAAAAGCGGCGGGAAAAAAATCAACGAAAGGAAGAAAGGAAAACGCGAGCTCGGCCAAACGCCGCCACCCCTTCGGAGCCCTTGGACTGTCGGACAGAGCGAGAGGGTCCCAAGGTCGTGCGCAAGGAAGAGGAAGAGTGCGACCAAGTCACAGGGGATGCCGCCGGAGTGGCTCTCGGGCGCTGCCGGGGCGCTGCAGCCGGGCCTGGAGGTTCTCTGCAGGGCCAGCGGGCTGATTCCGAACAGTGCTTCGCCGCCGTCTCTCTCGCACCCTGTGGCCCTGTGGGATGCCCCACCAGCCCGGGTAGCTCTGCGCTGTCCTGCGCTGTCCTGCGCCGCTCCGCACACAGGACTCCTCTCCTCTCTCAATGGACCCCTCTGCGCCGCTCTGCGCTGACCCCGCCGGCCCGGTGCTGCCGCCTCGCCAACGCCTCGCCGCCGCCCCCACCGCCAGGAAGCCCTGCCCAGCCCCACGCGGGCACATTATTGAAAGCAATCTGCCGGCCAGGCGGTCCCTGGACGGCCGCTTGGACGCTCGAGTTAACCGCCAATCTCCGCCGGCCGGCCCGGGTTCGAGTATCGGCACCGCCGCACCCTTTTTCCTTGTTTTCTCGCCCTGCGACTTGCTGAAGAAGAGGAGCAGGTCCGCGCGCCGCGCAGCACAACGCGACAAATGTCACCCAAACTTGGAGCATGGCGACGACGACGACGTCGAGGGGCACAAAGGCGGTATTGTGGCGTCGCATCAGCAATTCGCGGCGTGTGCGGGGCCGCCCGGGCTGCCGCGGGCCGCGGAACGGGTGGCAACCCTAACCGGTACGCGGCGCGGCTTGGCGCGGGGTCGCCGGGGGCCAGCCGCCGGGCCGCACGCTACCCGCCAGTGCCGCCACACACACACAACACGCCGGTGAACACACTTGCCGTATCGAACAGCTGCATCGGCCGTGTCGGCGACGGAGCAATTCAAAACCCTACCCGTTGGAGCGGCAGCCGGTAGCCATGGCGCCGCCCGGCACCGCCCCAGCCTGGGTACACGGCACGATAACCTATTATAGGGGTGCCACCCGCCGTCCTAAGCACACTCACGCACCCGCCAGACCACCTGGCGACCGGGGCAGTGTGTGCTGCGCCTGCAATGGCAGTGCCATGGCAGTGCCATTGCAGTGCCATGGCAGCCCGGCCCTCCTGGGCTGTTGACAAAAGCGGGGCTGCGCCGTGCTGCGCCCGGCCAGGCGCCCCTCGCATGTTGTCAACGCCAAGCGGACCGTGCCTTACCGGGGCGGGTCGCTTACACGATCGCCAGGCTTCGAACGCACAGTGGGCCAGAAGCCGGTGGAGGCGGCCAAAACTCTAGACGCGTTTTGAGCTCCAGAGTCGCTAAATGGGACTCGAACCGAAAGTGTGACCCAACCAATGGATTCCTCGTTCGGAGAGCAATCCATTGGTGGGGTCACACGTTCGGTTCGAGTCCCATTTAGCGACTCTGGAGCTCAAAACGCGTCTAGAGTTTTGGCCGCCTCCACCGGCTTCTGGCCCACTGTGGAACGCCATCCGTTTCCCGCGCACCGCGCATGGCCTTCGCGCGCAGCGTGTACGGAGTGTAGGGTTGCCGACCCCCCGACACGAAAAACATAATCCCGAAGACGGCCTGCCGCAGCAGCAGCGCGAGCAGCGCCGAGGTATATGCGTTCCCACGCACGCCGTGCACGCCACGCACGCCTCGCCCGGTATCGATCCTCGATAATGACGCACGCGGCACGCCACGGCACGCCACGGCACGGCGACGCGCAGCGCATGTGTTGCGGCCAACTGGCAGGTTACACGTGAGCAGCACGGATTCCAAGGGGTGGCTGTAATGAAGCATGAAGGGGGCGGGGCGAGGCGGGGCGAGGCGGGGCGGGGCGGGGTGAAAGGTTGTGTGCGTGCGCGGGGGGAGAGAGAGTGGCGCGAGGCGGCCGTTCTATAAACGCCATGTACCGTGAAGAGATTGATACGCGGCTTTATGAGGCGATCGGGACGGTTACGGCGTTCCTGCCGAGCTTCGCGTCGAGCTTCGGGTCGAGCTTCGGGTCGGGCTTCGCGCTTCGGGCTCCGCGCTTCGGGCTTTCGGCTCCGTTATTGGAGGTTTGAGTCTCCGGGGGCGTTAGGGGTAGAGGCCCTGCAGCTGTTAAGAGCGGCCTAAATTGCAGATGAGGCCAAGAGTAATGGCTGCCCAGATTGGACTGTGCCGTGGCGTGGCGTGGCGTGGCGTGGCGTGGCGTGGCGTGGCGTGGCTTGGCGTGGCGTGCCGCGCCGTGTCGCTATATGGCTTTGCTGCTGATTCGCTGCTCGGCTTCCGGGGGAACGCTTCCGCGAGTCGCCGATAGAAAGTTCGCGTATCGCGCGGCGGGGTCGGCCGGGTCGGCGCGGGGGCCGCGCCTAAAGGATGTGAGTTTAATCGCACGCCAGCTGCCGCGGGGGAGCGACGCAACCAGGGTGGAAGAAAAAAATAAAGTTTTACAGAAAGTTTGTCAAGTTGTTATCTTACCTGCGATGCACAAGATGGATATGACGAGTACGATGCGGTGCACCCTCAGGCCCATCTTCGCGGGGCGTTCAGGCCGTCAGCAGGCCCAGCCGCTCCCAGCACCTGCAACAGACGGACGGGCGGCGTTAGTCACGTGACCGGGGCAGTGGGAAGGGCGAGGCTGGCGGATTCAGCGCTCGGCTTGCCGCCGACTTATTTTATTCAAATTGCAGGCCGCATTCCGCACCAAATCCACGCGAGCTAATCGGATTCCAGATATTTTTCTTCGGGGCCGCGCGGTCCCGCCGCGCCACGGAGGCTGGCCCGGAGGGGGAGGGGGAAAGAGGGGGAGGGGGCAGTTAAAAACTCATCACGTTAGATTTAAGGGCGGTGAGGGTGCAGCGTAATAACAGGTCCCGGTGATGTATGAAGAGGCATGAACTTTTGGCTTTGGCTGTACACTTTACACTTCCGCAAACAGCTCGGCCGCTCGGCCCGGCAAATCGAAGCGTCAAAACTTGAACCTAATTTTGAGCGTTTGCAAAATTTAAAGCCCCAATGGCAGCGCGCGGCGCCTTGCGCGTGGCCCAGTGAGCGATTCCGACGAGGCGCTTCGTCGCTCTGTCTCTCTCGCACCCCTACGGGACAGCCCTGAGTGCGACAGAGAGCCAGCCTGCTGTTGCCTGCCGTGGGGCCAGGCCGCCGACTCCGCCGAGAACACGGGGGCGATGAAAAGAGAAAAGGAAGTGAACGGTGTAGGAGGAGGAGGAGGGAACGGAGAGAGAGAGAGAGAGAGAGAGAGAGAGAGCGGCGAGAAATAGGGCCAGTTAGAAGAGTTCCCGAAGTGATAGGGCACACTGCCAATTGCCGATATACGTTTCCGGCGCTGGCACGGCCAGCCCGTACCGTACCGGTTGGCCCTGCCTTTGGCCTGCCTTTGGCCTGCCCGCGCGGACGGGGCGGACAGGCGGGCGGCGAGCGCGCGAAATTTCAAAAGTCTTTAAGCCGGATGCCATTGAATGCAAGATTAATACGTGCAGCGCGCCAAACGGCCAAACGGCGTGCCGACTGGGCGGGATATGGAGCGGGCTTCCGGACCAACAAGTCCACAGTATTGTTCGGCTTTGTTGTACCGGCCATGGGCCCGGGCCTGCCACGGGCCCGCCATGGGCCTGCCATAGGCGCACGCAGCGAGGCCGCGGGGCCGCACTCTCAAAAAGAAAACTTTACGATGCTCGGCCATTGCGCGCTTTTCCGGTGCTGGAATTTCAATTTAAAGCGTGTCCCGTACAGTTTGTTTACTGTTTCGAAAAGTGTAAAGTTGGTAGGAGTGAAATCAATTTTCTTAGGTTGGCAACAATCCACGCTGGGGCACAGTGTTCTCGTTCGATTTTTTTGCGGGGGGGGGGGAGCCAGGAGGACAGACCATGAGGACGTATTTCCTGAAGTCGTCGAGGCCTCTGGTCTTGACCCCCACGGCCCACAGTTTTTCCGACAACATACCATAAAATTACTCAGTGAAAACCCGACTAAAAATCAGTTGTTTACGATGAAAATCGGCTCAACTTGCGTCATTATTCAAGTTGATTATCTGACAGTGCCTCGCGGCGGGGGAAAGGGGTAATCAGTGCTGTGTAAACCACACGCGAGTGCGCCGCACCGCGCCGCACCGCGCCGCAGGCATCGGGGGGCGCACACTGGACAGGACCGGGCAAACAAAACGTGCAAGCCACAGCGACAGAGCGTCGCGTAAAAAGAATGCCTTGTCTTTAACGAAAAAAAACAAAAAAAAAACAAAGAAACAAAAAAGGAAAACACCATCTTGTTTGTGTGTGTCCAGGGGTGGAAACGCTAGGGAGAACGAGAGATGGCGCCAGGCGCTGACCGTAACGGCAGCGGCCTCGCCTCCAAGCTCCAAGCCCAGCCAGGCGGACACGCCACCCGCCCCGCCCCGCCCCGCCCCGCCCCGCCCCCCCCGCCCCGCCCCGCCCCGCCCCGCCCCGCCCCGCCCCGCCCCGCCCCGCCCCGCCCCGCCCCGCCCCGCCCCGCCCCGCCCCGCCCCGCCCCGCCCCGCGACGTCCAGGTTCTGTTTGTCCTTCCAGGCCATCGGCAATCGCACTGACGGTAGGGAAGGGACGGCGGGGACGTCGCGCTTCTGTTTGGATACCTTTAATGACCACCTGGACGCGCCACACGCACACGCGCGCGCGCGCGCACACACACACACACACATACACACACACACACACACACACACACACACAAAAGCGTGCACCTATTGCCCAGTTCCGATGTGGGTCCCCACTGCGCTCCCGATACATCAGAAATAAAAGCTTTTGCGTGCGGCACTGCAGCAGGACGCCAAGATGCAAACCAATTTCGTTCGACCGTGGCGGCAGAGGCGGCCCAGGCGGGCGGGGGTGTTTGCTTTCCATTTACAGAAACTCAAGACGGCCCCGAATAAGGATGGCGCAGTGGCTGGGCGACGGCACAAAAAAAAAGAGGGGAGGAAGGACAAAGTGACATCGTCAAGTGTAAATATTGTTGTTAATGCCTCTGTTGTTGTTGTTGTCGCGGAAATAAAAGCCGCCGCCAACGAATGACTGACCAGGACGTCGAGGAGGCCGTCGAGGAGGCCGTCGAGGACGGCGTCGTGGCGGCGGGGGAAGTTTATTCCGGGGGCGAACGTGATTCGGCGAGACGACCGGGCCGCCCTGATGAAAATCCGACTGAGTCGAAACGGGCCGCCGGCCGACCCGGGGAATATAAATAAAAATAAAAATATAATCCTCTTGGCTCGTCAGAGGAGGCCTTCCGGGACCGGCGGCTGTGGCGGCAGAGACGCGACCTCCTCGGAGCGGCCTGCACACCGCGGGACTCAGCGGGGCGAGAGGCGCGGGGTAATGAGAGATGATCCTTCGGTCCAGTGCCCCCCCCCTCCAGCCGCCACCTTGCCGTCGTGACGTCAGGCCGCACCGGTGACGTCACGGAGCAGCAGGGCCCACTTCTCCTCTTCCACCCCCACCACCGCCGCAATCGAGGTGGAACGTCACTTACTCCGTTACCTCTCTCGCCGCACGCGCGCAGTCAAAGAACCCGCCAAGCACAAAAAAAAGCGGGAAAAAAGAAGGGAGCGCCGACTAATTTCCCCTCACGGACGGGGCGCCGCCACCGCAGCGACGTCCACGCAAAACTTATTATATTGGAAGTTTCGCACAACTAAATTCATCAGAGTGGTTTTGCGATTCGCAGCGCCGCGACCCCTCCGCCGCGCCGCCCCACCGCCTGATGGCGAGTCAGATTATGCAATTGACTAACTAAATAAGCGCACCCCGTCCCCGGGGAAGGGGGAGGGGAGGGGGGCCTTCACTCATCTCCGAGTCTTGGCGCGCTTTACGGCGCCACACGCGGTATGTGGGTCACGACGGACGGACGGACAGACAGACAGACAGACAGACAGACAGACAGACAGACAGACAGACAGACAGACAGACAGACAGACAGACAGACGGGCAGGCATACAGACAGACAGACAGACAGACAGACAGACAGACAGACAGGCAGACAGGCAGACGCGCTAAATACGCGCGGGCCGTAGCGAACTGCGCAGTGATAAGGCGTCGCGGAGCTGGCAGTGCGTACTAAAACGGCGATGAACTCCCAGCGACGCGAGCGTCGCGATCCAGTGCGAGTGGCGAGTGGGCTGCAGCCGAGGCTCCAGGCCACTCCAGGCACTCCAGGCCGCGCCGTGCTCAGCGCTGACCATTTGGCATTACAGCGGCCCGACCTGGAGCGGAGCGGGGCCGAGCCGAGCGGGCTCCCTTCCAGCAGCTACTTTCCTTTCTCTTGGGGATGCAAATCCAGCTTTGATGCCGGGGGAGGGGGCGGGGCGGGGCGGCACCGCAGACTCGTCTCGCTCCAGTCCCCCATGGTCCCCCACTTCCCCGGCGGCGGCCTCGGCGGCCTCGACGCGGCTCCACAGCGCATCACTCGCGGACGTATATCATAAGCCGTGATCTCGAGCAGGGCGAGCTCTCGAAAAGTTGCGGAGCCGAGCTAAGGCTGTTGGCACGCTACATTTACATGTGGGGGCGGGGCGGGGCGCGACCGCGGGCGACGTGCACGCGAAACCAGCGGAAACTCGGCCCTGACAAATGGCAGCGCGGCGCAGCGCCGCCGGCCACGCAGTAGTGTGTGTAGGTTTCGCCAAGCGGCGGCATTTTCCGCGACGCGCGCGCACCGCGCGAAGAAGGCCGTCACCTTCGCGTCCTTTGCGTCCTCAGCGCGTGCGTCAGGCTGCCAAACACACCAACGACACACACACACACACACACTCAGACCGGAAAGGCCTCTGAAAGGCCCTAGCGTCACTGATTGGCCAATCTGCATTGCGCGGTATTAGCATAGTGTTAACGGCTGCTGCCCTGTCAGCGCGCTGCCCCGGCTGCCGAGGGGGTAAACACTTCAAGAAATCGTGTACAGACTACTCGGTATTACGCTGTATTACTGAGGTATTACACGTGTATTACGGCCTCAAAATGCAAAAATTTGGCACATTTGACCCGAAAAAGTTATTACGACCCCGTGTATTACGCGTAATACACGGTTTTTGTGTACAGGGTATTACGCGAGTGGTTACCCCCTCGCCGGCTGCCCCTTGCGGATGTACGGGCCAGTCGTCCAAGCGACACACACACACACACACACACACCACACACACACGCCAGCACGCGCCCTGCTTGTCCGCTCGCCCCCCGCCAGTGTGTCGTACACGCTGCCTCGGTGGCGGCCATGGCGGCACGGGACGGCCGGCTCTTGCTCTGGCCGCTCGGACCGATCGCCCGAACGGGGAGGGGGAGGGGGGACTGGGACGGGACTGACTGATGGAGAGAAAATACGAGCGGCTTAGGTAGGGGGACGCTCCAGTTGGCAGCGCGACGCATCCGTTCGTTCCTGGAGAAGAAACTCTTTCTCCGGCGGGGAGGGGAGGGGGAAGGGTGACACGCTGACGCTGCCGGGCAGCAGGGCGACTTGCACGTTCCGGACGAACAAGCAAGCCATGGCCCTGAGCCGGCCAGGCGGGCGGCGAACTCCACCGCGCGTCGTCACATCGCACCAGAGGC